GTCGCGTCCTTGCTCCTAGTAGTAAGGCCAGGAGCTACTAGTAGCTACCATATTGCAATGCCGTTCTCACAGTTCTCACAGTTGCTGTCTGCACCACCGGACTCCTGGAGCGGAGCTTCGCCAGAGGAGGACCAAATGGCGATCCAACGGGCCCCCGATCGAAGAGGCGGTGGGTTTGGAGATGTTTGGATCTCCAGCTTTCAATTCTCACCCCGTTCCATCCCGCTGCCGAGCATCCGTCACGCGCTCCAGCAATGGGCCCCGATCCGCCAAAAAGACCTCCGAAGGTTGGACCATTACAACCACCTAAAGACACAGCTTGTTGGTTTAATCATTTGGAACCTCTGAATGGGAGTCGTACTCCTGCAACTGCAGGGCTCAAAGCCTGCATGTGTCAGCTTTCGCGATCACCTTATTCTGTTTTCTGCATGGGGCTGTTCGGCTACTCTTGATCGAAACAGTACCTCATCTGCCGGTGGCACACGTTGCAGATCCAAGCAAGGTTTGGCTACATCACCCATCCCCCCACCACAGGCTACTTTACCGGAATTAAGGTGTTCATGGCAAAAAACACAAACTCATTTTGCCTCATACCTTTTTCTGGTGCACCTCCTCCGTTTCTCCAACAAGTGATTCGTGTCTTCCTCCACAAAACGCCAAACACGGTCTCGGTGGGCGATCACCAAAGACTCCGTTGGTGATTCGTGTTCGGACCAATATCGACCAAACACCCTTTTCTGAGCCAAATCGATGACCGGTTCGCACGGTGAACCCGTTCTACATTCTGAACGTGTGGATCTACTGTTCTATCTATGTGGGGGTCTATTAAAAAGAGTTGTTGAATCTTTAATCTATATGAGCCCATCATAGCCCATGCCTTCCTAAATTCTCTTCATCGATGCTTCCAGCTTTTCAACTGTCTCCCCAGACTGCTTCGAGTACTGGATGGACTAGCCAGCTACCAGTGTCGTCGAAGGGAAAAAGGAAACAACGGTTCCATCTGCAAAGACCTTCAACCATGACCCAAAGTCATCTAAGAATGCAACGGCTGCGTATAGTCTATAGTAAGATTGGGCAGCCTTAAAACGCGGTCATGTTTTTCATGCATGTTTGTACTTCTTTGATCTTGGATTCATTGCACCGGCTTCTTTCTCTTCAAATTTCTTCTTCTTCCTTGATGCCAACCGAAAGCCAGTCGCGCCAGCCCACCAGCCCACCTCCAAAAGGTCCCAAAAGGTCCTCATGTTCTTCCCATACCCGCTACGAACGGAGCGATCGGACGCTACGAACGGGGCTGGCCGTACTACTAGGAACATCCTTACTACTAGGAGCAAAAGGCCGTTCCCTTCCCATACAGCCGCCATGTCCATCGATGGACATGCGGCGCCTGCGGCGACGTGGCGGCGCGCGAGGTGCGCGGCCGCGCGGCGTCGACCTCCGCTGGAGTCCTGGCGGCGTCGAGCGGGTTGTCCCTGCCAGCCTTTTGGAGGTGAAAAGGGTGTCCAAGGAACCACCTGTTGGAAGGTGGGGACCAGGACCTGTGGGTCAAGTTCTGAGCTACTTTAAGACGTCAAAAACTCACACATTTCAGCCCAGATTTTTGTTGGTTTTTCTTTACGTCTTAAAGTAGCTCATCTAAAGGAAATTGGGGAGTTGTACATGTCGTTCATCCAAAATAAGTACTTGAGGCCAAGGGGGGGGGGCGAAAGCTAGCGCTCCAGAATGGGAAAGTGGAGGGTAGCGAGGTAGGAAAAAACACGGCGCTCTTTTTGGAGGCAGTCGCACGGAGTAGCAGAAGGCAGGACGCCTTGCACAAGTTGGGCGGGGCAAACGATTCCAGGTGAAGAGTCCTTTGTATGTGGCTCTTTGCCCGGATCCTCCTGCGAGAGAAGAGAGAGAAGAGAGACGGAAAGACGAGAGACAGAGAGGAGAGAGAGAGAGAGAGAGAGGAGAGAGAGATGAGAGAGAGAGAGAGATGAGAAAGAGATGAGGGAGAGATGAGAGAGAGATGAGAGAGATGAGAAAGAGAGAGAGAGAGAGAGACAGTGAGAGTGAGAGTGAGAGTGAGAGTGAAAGTGAGAGTGAGAGTGAGAGTGAGAGTGAGAGTGAGCGAGTGCGGCGAGGGAAGGTGGGAGGAAGACAAGGAGGAGGAGAGGGGAGGGGGGGGGAGGGGGGGGGGGGGGGGGGGGGGGGGGGCTTCGACCTGAAAGATCAGGGGTTAGGATTTGCACCCGATCGAAAGAAACCTTGCTATCGCAAGAGTAACTCCAGCTAGCTTCGCTAGCTTTCGTGATATATGGGCTCCGGAAAGAACATGGGGAAAAAAGAACAATGGTCTTTCATGGTCTTCCTATATATAGGTTCCATATTCAGAGGAGAACAGTACAAAGTTGGAGAATGAAACGTCAACAACTGACTGCGATTCGCATCGAGGTTCAAAAAGAACGTCAACACTCCGAGCACTCGTTTCTCCCATTCAGACCATGGAGAGCTGAACCTGACCCAACCGGCTCAACTGGCTGAACCCCCCAACAGGCGGCGGCTTCCGTCCCTCCCCGTCCCTCGTCTCTCCTGTCATCCCAGGTCTCTCTGAAGGCTTCCATGCGAGTGTCACTCGCCGCCTCTACACACGGACAGTGCGCGGTTCGGTTGTCAGAACATGCGCGGTTCGTCGGTTTGGGTGAGAGACATCCATCCATTGTAGTTCACACTCAAGAGGGTTGTGCATGGATGTGGATGCTGGAAGAAACTTGGTCACCTTGAAACCCTTTGAAGGCTCAGCTTGCTTTGCCCGTGTTACAAGGTTGGGGAAAAGCCCAAGTGCTTTCTCTGATCCAAAGCACTCAGGAATAAACGATCTGAGTGACACGATCCGACCTCATTCTCAACTCAAACTTCTGATTTCTCCACCAAAGCAACTTCTGTACACATGTAAAGGTACTTATTCCAAACAGTGTGTTACAGTTATAGTGTGTTTCTTCTACCCGCGGATCCTGGGTTCTGTGAGATGTTTTTCGCTCTGACCAGGAAGATTTGACTAGGGACTTGTGTTCCAAAGATTTTCACAGCAATCTTTTCATGTTTATAGACGATTGGGTTCATAGATGTTACAGTGCCTGAAGAGGAGACACCTCCACAAGTGTTGAACCATCCACTGAGTCAAAACAAAACTGAACGTCCTCACCTGGCCGACGACACTGCGTGACGACACTGCAGAATGTGGGAAGAAAACTCGTGCACATGAGAAAAACAACATGGAAAACTCGCACTCTTCCGCACGGGAGAATAAGACAACCGTTGGGTCTGGTTAGATTGACTGGGGCTCATCGACCATTTAGTATTATAAATATATACTCGAGTAATAAACCCCCCCCTTGGACATGGACGTCCTCTTTATTATGATCAAGCATCTACATGACAGCTCCTCATCCTGTACGGCTTTTGAAAGGTGGATTTGGAACGTTTGAGCCAACGCGCGTGCGTGCGTTGGCCCCCCCCCTTCTGGGGCCCCTCACCACCATGCCCCGCCAGAAGGGAGCAGAAGCGGTCCTCGGCGTCTCGCTGGCTGTCGAACAGGTTTACGTTTTGCGTACGGTTTTTTTGGTGTCCGGTTTTGCTAGAAAGGTTCGTTCTAGATTCTAGATATATACTGACTTGTAATTGATTTGGCAGCAAGCTCAATTGTAAATTTGGTAACAGTTATTACCAGGTTCTTCAAAGTGACCTTTTGTTCCCCTATGTTCCCCCTGGTTTGAGATCACTTAGGCCTTGAAATGGTCATTTAGGGACTCCAAAAAGGTCACTATGAAGAAGCTTGTATATGGTGAATAGCCTAGGCTACCTCCTGTCGAGATATGTCGAGATCAAACCGAGAATATTGAAAGGATGTATATATCCAAACAACCCAACAGGGATGCTATCAACAACCTAAACATACCCTGTGCCTGTGCTTCCCAAATCAATCCAAATCGTATCCCGTGGTTCCAAATGAGCTGGATCCACACTGAGCCCGTGAGATCTTTCACAACATCCACAGTGAACACTGCAAATGGCCATTGTCTTGTCTCCTGCGACTCCGCGATCGGCACCGGCATTGAGATTGGTCGGACACGCGCTCGTCACGAGTGTCGCCGAACTCGGAGGGGCACTGACGAGCGGTGCGCCGCATGGCCATCCCTCAACCCTGAGGTCAAGCTGCAGGTCTGTTTGAGGTCTTTTTGGAGCGAATGACACTACCTACTCACGGTGTTGATATCCACATCTCAGATCCATGCGCATCCGCTGTGGACCTACACCAATGAGTATACCCTCCATTTCATCGCCTGGCGCGACATCACGATCCAAGCGCCGTCTGCGGTGAGGGACTCCGGACGGACGACTCACAGCGTCGACCTTCGCGGAAACCAGAGGGCGTCGACCTCGCCTCTCATGCCATCTGCACGGTCGTCTGCGGCGGACGTGAGCGATTTCCGTGCTGCCCATGAGCGAACGCCGCATCGGGCACGAGTGGTCACGCTTCACCGACGCACGTGCCTTGAAACTGGTACCCCCCTGGTCGACCCATCATTTCCAGCCGTGAACGTATAGTAGACGACCACTGGAAAGTCTCTGATGATGGAGTGAAGTCAAAAGGCTGGGCAAATGAGTGGAACTCAGCCAATCTCTACGATGAAATGGCCCACAAATACGAAAGAAATCCAAATATTTTCTGCACTTTACTATAAAAGATCGAACAAGTTATACAAAGATGATGATGAAAGGACAGCTTTTCGGCCCTCCCTTCGGCTCCCTCCCAATCCCTCCCTCATTGGGCACCGCACAAAGGCAGAAACAGCGGAGCTAGGACCTGGCCGAACGAGCCGCGAGCGACGGTCCAGGCAGGCCGGAGCGCAGAGCGAGGCGTCGCAAGAGTTTGATGACCAATTCCCCCCTCAAAAAAACACTTGGATTTCTTGGACCCATTTCTATCGATTCCCTGAAAAAGAAAGGGTTCTTCGGTGAGGTTCGAGTGCAAAGCAGCGATTAAAACCCCAAGAAAGAAACCGCAGATGTCAAGCGACGCATGGTTCTTGGAGACCTGATTTTTGACACAATGCTCTACCTAATCAGTGGAAACAATGCTCTGCCTCATGCCAGGTCTCCCTTACTTACCTCGTTTGGACTCGTTTGGTCAAGACCCTGTAAAACAGAGCTGATGGATGATGGATTTTGCCATTACGTCCTTTTAGCCAATGCAAGGGGGATCGGAGTCTCACACATGGAGCCCTGATTCTTGGGTTTAGGATCGGAGTCCAAAAGTCAATCTTTAGGACACTAAACCAAATCAGTTCGACAATATTGAAATGTATCTCTTTCTCTTTTCTCTGGTCAAATCTCAATGACCAACAACTGGACTTCGCTCACAGTTTTGAATGCTAAACACTTACACAAAGAGAGGGCAGCCTAGCAGTGTCCTTGCTCCTAGTAGAAATGCCCTTTGTTCCTAGTAGCGTCCGAACGCTCCGGTCGTAGTACGGTCAGGAGCCCCGTTCGTAGCGTCCTTGCTACTAGTAGTAAGGCCCTTTGCTCCTAGTAGCGTCCTTGCTCCTAGTAGTAAGGCCAGGAGCCCCGTTCGTAGCGTCCTTGCTACTACTTCAGCAAATTCTGCCGGTGGTACCAAGAGCTGATCGTACAAATACCGGGCGTCGCTCAAGGAGGGGCAAAGCATCGTCGCCTAACCGTTGTGCCATCGACGAGAAACCTGCGATCGGTGTCTTAAGACCAAAGGCAAAGCAGTAATCATGCGGCGCACTTTCCATTATATAGCGTCAATCCAAGAGAAGTGGAGTAACAATTGAGGCATTGACTAGTATACAAGTACTCTGTTCCTATGTCCGCCGCTAGCCCAAAATGAGCTGCCCCACAGTTTACAACGAGGTGAGCAATTCCTTGATATCACAGATGTCTCCAAGAGCTTCAATCCTTTTCTTGCGTCTCCCATATAAAGCTTCTTGGATAGCCAACTGGTGAGTCAATCTCGCACGGGCGATCATTTTCGACCAACGGGTCCTTTTTCAGCGGAAAGGGGCAGGCCGCCCTCGATCGCGCTCGATGTGTGTCCTCGCCTGTGTACAGCAACTTCCAGCACCTCAGCGAGGCTCGATGACCGGAATCCGTGGAATCCGCATCAATTCCAACGCGGGTTCCAAGGGGTTTTTTTAATCAAACCCAAAAGGCTGTCTGCGGCCACTGGACATTTCAAGGATTTGGACTGCAAACATGGTTCCCATGAGCCATTTCCCTTCGATGACCAAAAATCAGATTGAGAAAGCAATCCCCTAAAAGGGTGGTTGGCCACTAAGAACGTGGCTGTGTTGTCTCAGTTAAAAAGAACATAAAAGAACCACTCCGTGGTGAAGTGAACCATCGGGCTTGCCCAGTAGACCAGCTTACAGAAACCAAGCGGACTCTATTGAAGCATCTGTTAACTGGACATGAAACTTTTCATCTGTAGGTACCCAGGCAGCAAGCTTGTCTATAAACACACTGAACCATCATCTGCAGTCAGCCAAAAGACACTATCAAGGCACTACAAAATGTTTGATAAATTGTCAAACACTTGCTCCATTAATCTCCACAATAGCCTCAAAATTGGCGGTAGAGTTGAGGAACTTGACTGTGCCTTTGCCGTGGGGATGGCCTCCCAGCTTGACACACTCGCGCTTGTTTTCATCTTCGTGCTCGGCCTCACCGAATCGCCGCACCGAATCCGATGAATTGCCGGGCATCGCAGGGGCCCAAGGCACCGAAGGCTGCCGCATCGAGGTAGATTCGCTTCGCTTTGGGGTCGTCCGTGTCCTGCACCGGTGGTTTTTGGGGGGTCTCAGGCTCGAGACCAGGGTGGAACTGGTGGAACACGGTGAACATGGTCCCTGTCTGTCACCAGTATCACACCGCGGGTTGGGGGCGGGTTGACAGGTGATCATTCCGGATCCACACGAGAAGGGGAGGATCAATCCTGTCGACTGCCGAGTCAACTGACCGTTTCCGAGTTCTCACGGGAACAGCTAGCATGTTTGGAGTTGTTTTGAATGATTGGTCCACATTCTTGAACCGTAAGAACCATGGACGAGGTGCTGCTCGGAGCCAAACGACTAAGAGACCTACACCATTGCTTGGATGGGCTGTGCTCTCGCCAGTGTGGTTTATTAGGTGTTTAAAAGAGGTTTTAGAATCCCTTTCTTTCATCAAGCGTCTACCTGATGGTGCAATCACAGGCGCGTACTGTTCCTATTTACGAAGTGGGCTGGTGCCTTGCAGCTGAAGTTGCAAAACGGTCGCACAGATCCAGCACAGGAGCTGCAAATGTCTGAAAAAACAACATACAATTTTTGTGTTTTGCTATATCACACGGGTTGTAATAACTTTGAGAGGGTTGAAATACCTCAATGAGCTGTCTGCCTCAACACCATGTACATGTTCATGGACCGTGGTCCAGTCGCCCCTTTTTCTAGCGACTGAGCTGTTTCAGGCGGCTGGCACAGCGAATGAAGGGCAAAAGCTTGTCGCGGATCTGAGTGCTGGTGCCTGGCAGATCCGGGGGTTTTTCAAGACATGAACCTGGGAGAACAGACCCGTCTTGCTCCGTCTAGAACATTCCTGTCTGACTTCCAACTCTGCTCCTGTTTTGGCTCGAATGGTGGAATATGTTGGAATAAGTTGACCTGTGGCCACCAGTGGCTATGTGCCAAGCACACAAAATGCAGGCTGCACGCCAAAAAAACATCAGTTTCATTGGAATCAAACGTATCCGAATCCTTTCACCGTGCGAAGAAAAGGATCCGGCATATTTCAAGGGGGCTGTTCCAATGTATACCGTAAACGTGTGTCACCGTCACTCCCTGTAAGAATAGAATCGAATGCTCAAGAAAAACCTCCCGTGAAAACAAGCAAACTGAATCAAACCTTCAAACTCACCACAATGCACAAAAAATATATCAACGGTAATCTTCAGTCTGGGGTGTTCTCCACGCGGCGCCGGCGCCGACTCGAGGCGCTGTGCGTCCACCGTCCACCGTCCACTCCGCGCGCCTGTGGGACTCAGATCGAAAATGCTCGCGTCCTTCAAACCCGTGGCCGACCACTCGACCCAATCTCCGTCGCCTGGAAGAGGGCAGGCGTCGGTCAAACAAAAAGAGGTTGACGGGAACATCACAGGTGGTGTCCACCCACCGGTTTCATCTTCTCATTTTGGCACTTGTTATTTGTTGGGAAACAAGCCACAGTCACAGAGCTGGCGGAAGTGAGAAGGCATCACTCCCTCCAAAGCACCATTTCTTCAAGTATCGACTATTTGAGAGAAATATGGGTTGAAGGACGCAAATCCTCTTACTGCTAGTGTGAGTCATCAAACGAGTACACATCACCCAGGCAATTCATGTATGGAATATTATGGAATATATGCCTATCCAGTGACCCCTGAAATCAACCAATGTAGGTGAACATTCCAGTCTGGAGTGTCTGGTATTCAATGATACCGCTGAAGCCATCACATCGAGCCTGCCCGTTGGCCACCTTCGTTCTGCGTGGAGGTGACGGAGGAGGCAACCGCTCTGGCCTCGGTGACCTTGGTGGTCCCTGGGTCGTGGGACCGGCGGTGACGGCTGGCAATGACAATGGCAGCCCCTCATGTCGTGGCTCATAATATGGGTTCTTCCATGTTCTTCCACTGGTTCTTGCTTATGTTGGATGTGATTGTTTCCAGGAACTTGCTGCATGTGTTGCAACAGTAGTAGCTGAAGCTGGCGAGCCCTTCCCTTATCCTCCAGAAATGTGCAAAGGCCACTGCCAGGCGCTGGCACACATTTTTGCTGGACCTGAACATATACACAAGTCAGTAGAATGAACCAAGGACAACACATACGCTGGCTATCATACCAAGTAGCATAGCCACCGCTTGAGGTGTAGGATAGGGACTTGGGCCTGATGATCAGATTGCACGACCATTGGCGCGCTTTCGGTTGGGTAAGATCTGCGAACCAACGGAGATGTTCTTTTTTCAGAGCTTCCTAAAACAAAGACAAAGCACTAGAACGCTTTTTCCGCACAAATTACTTACAGTAAAATGACATTAATGTTTTTTGTTTTTCAACACAGCATCCCGACCCATCCTCAGATCCTCATTATGCCCTTCAAACAAGCTCAAACTAGAGAAATTGCCCGTTTCTGCCCGAACCTTTAAAAGGCTGATTGTTGGGGAACAGGCTCTTTAAAAGGCTGTATCTGAAGATGGAATGAGTTTGATCTTCGGATGGATCAATAGAGACGCGTCGAAGCTCCAAGATCAATGGACTGTGTGATACGTAGTGTGCACGACGGGCGAAGAAACATGCCCTGGTTGACCTGGTTGACAGACCCGAGTACCGAACATCGAGTGGTAAATGGATTCCAACTTCTCGCTATTTGGAGGTGCAAGTGGTGTGGGAAGGAGAAATGTTCCAACATGATTGTGCGAGCTGATAAAGCACAGTTCTTTTAGTCTTGCAAAGGACTCCATCCACATCCGACAGTCTCACTAGATGATACAAACAGCCACAAAAGACATGGTTGCCAAAGAGATCCCTTTCTGTCAAGTCCACTTTGTTGCAATGCCATCACTTTGAGGTCACTATCCCGGCAATTCTCAGAAGCTCTCTACCAGCTCTAGAGCTCTACTACAGGGAGCAAGTCCCCCCAAGCAGTTATAAACACGATCTTTGGAGACTTCAAAAGCTTTTTCCACCAAACACCAGAAAACCCATCCGTTTGTTCAAAACCGTCACCGTCCCGTCCCACCCGTCCCCTTCGGCTCATCGCTGCCGTCCGCCTTTGGAAGATCATCCCATGCCGTCCGCTGGCCATGCCATGCGCCGGCATCCTGGGATGTGCCGTGAAAACAAGGGTCGGTCCAAGCGAGATCTGTGGCGCTTGTCGTTTTGCTCGTTTGGCATTCGTTTCGGTCAAATTTTGTGGTATGGATCACAGTGGAAGCAAGGTGAACACCTCATACATCTCTTTGAGCCTACGAGTATTTAAACACAGGATGAAACGGGATGCATCCCCGGAGCAAAAAGCAGGATGTGGACCGTCACAGATTCTCAGGTCACCTGGATCGGAGATGTCCTGCTCTTTGGTAGGTTGGAGGCCATCGCTACGAACGGAGTGATCGGACGCTACTAGGGGCTCCTGGCATCGCTACTAATTAGTAACAAGAAGCTACTTGGAGCAAAGGGCATCACTACTAGGAGCAAGAAGCTACTAAGGGCATCGCTACCTATTTTCGATCTGTGGATACTACATAGCTCCAAGCGGCTGGATGCGACCACCGGCCTGGAAAAGGCGTGGCTGGGGGGTGGTGTATTTGGTCATTGTCCTGCGGGGTTTTCATGCGTTTTCCAAACACATGTTTGTGATAACATGTACACAACTTATTCTGAAATCTTACAACAGAAACTGGAGAGTTAGACTGAACACCAAGGGGAAGTGATCACTTCCCTTGGCCTAAATGATGGGGTGTATACCTTCAAAAATTGTTGCTTCCTCGATGCCAGTCGAACAACCCAACACAGATACCTGCAGTCTCAGTCTGTACATGCATACCGTGAGGAACTGCTTCAAGCACTCCCCAGCTATAAACGCGACCTCCGAACATCTTTTGGCCTCTGGACAACCAACGACACATCTCGAGGCGACCCTCGCAGCTCGAAGCCGCAAAAAAAGGGGACCATCGACCCCAATCGACCTCCACGAGCCCGCCTAGTTGGGATGAGATTCGTGGCAGATCGAACCGCCTTCCTTCATCAAACCCCCAACTCAAATGCTTCGTTTTCGTCACTCGTCTCACTTTCCGGTCCCGAAGCTCCGCCTTCCGCTTCCTCCGCCCGGGTCCCCAAAAAGCACCGACAAGGCACCGGCGTCTCGGTCTCTACCGGCGCCGGCGAAAACTCGCGCTCCGCGGCGCCTGGGCAACGCGTTTCAACGCGTTTCAACCGCGGCACAAAAGCGCGACCTGGCAAAGACCCACTGATAGACACGTTAGATATTGGGACTGACATATATTGACATTCGGGTTGAAAAAGGGTCAATGGATAGGTATATAGCCCATACATGGAGTACATGGAGTGTCTGGGACTTGTGGAATTCATGAAACACCTTATTTTAATTATTCAACCTCATTTCGGACTTTTTGATTGGACATTCAGAAGGAACTTTAGGGGAGCCGTTTCGTGGGTATACCATGATATACCTGGATGTTTCGTGAGTGCTTGAAAAGGGCCGCAGTCTCCTTCTTGTTTGTGATGCTTAGGACCACCGGCAAGAAGCCAGGACGACTAGTTCGTGACCCGGTCAAGCCCCGAAGCCGGTCGACGGCCGGTCTCGACTGCTCAACGAGTCTCGCTGGACTCGTTCGACGGCGAGTTTCGGAGTCCGTGAGCAAAGTGCCTTACTTTAATTTTAAGTTAATTCAAATAATAGCTTCTTGTTTCTAGAAGCGAGGCACCTGCTACTAGTAGCGTGGCACTTGTTACTAATAGCTTCGAGTTGCTTCTGGGCGTTCCGGAATTCCATTTGCCCTTCCTTTGGTCACTCGAATTCCCGTGAAAGTCAGAAAGGAGGATTGGTGAGGTTTCAGTCACCCGTTCGGTTTTCAGCTTCGAAATCTGTCTTCCGGTGTTCGATCTTCTCTTCCGGGGTGTCGAAACTCTGGCCTTCTTCGCTTGCGAGTCTGCGAGTCCGCGAAGCCGTGGACGAGGCGAGTCCGTCAGGCACTGAATTATGCTGTGTCCCACATTCGCACATTCAGCGGGAGTGAATTAGTCATTCGCACCTTGCACAGCTGGACTAGAATTGGTCATCTTTGATTTATTGGATTTAGCTTAGGATCCGATCTTTAGTACAAAGCAGCAACAAAAGAAAGGAGTTGCCAAGCCTGTGCTGAACTTGCTTCGCTTGAAGTGGCTCCCAGCAAAAGACTCTGAGGAAACGGGTGTGCATGGAACGCAACTTGCCTCTACAAACCAAGGAATGAACAGTAGCTACATGTCTGACTTCACCAAGGTCTCACTTGACGTGCCTTCACTGTGCTGCGCAGGGTCTCAAATGACATGGTGCGTAAAAAACCACACCCTGAAAAAAGTCAACGCGGTGTGGAGGCGGAGAATGCAGGAAAGTGCACGAACTGGTCAAAGGGGGTCCGCTTGAACCGCAAAGGGGAACGCTGGGTGCACCATTTTCACGGTTCTCCACTGGGATTTGATATCATATCCAATTGAACAACCTCTTTAAAGCACCCTGCAGAAAGATGGTCGGGAAGTTTTTCTGTCACTGGCCACTTGACGGCTGCATGCCCTTGACGGCCCCCTGACGTATTGCCTGGCCACCAAACAAAACGTGCTACCTCTGCCGAGCTGATTTCGAGCTGCTTCAGTTTTTTCAGATCTGAGATCGGACAAAGGCCCCTGCTTGGTGTCAGGATGTTGATTTCTGATTGGGTGTTCCCAAGATCGGGGTTGTTAGGATTTTGTTTTGTTGGGCGTAGTTCAGCTATAAGGGTCTCTTTTTTGGAACTCTAGGACCATACGAGCTGAGTGTCTCTGCTTTTGTGACTGGAGGCTTCTTTTGGACAGCAAAAGAAGCCATGCCGTGAAACACACATTCTAGGGCGCAGTCCAGTCATACACCACATACATAGGCATAGAAAAGGATAGAAAAGGACTCATCTACCTGGCCCATCGTCAAATTCAAAGACAAACACGTGGTCTTTTTCCTACGCATCCTCAGCTCCTTTCTCCGCTATAGTACACCACATCTGTTCGCATCTCCCGCTCGCGTCATCGACCCAAGCAGTACGAGGACAGCCGAGCCGACGCCGAGCCGACGCCAAGGCTCTCACGCTTTCCGCACCTTTCCTGGGTGCGAGGCTCGAGGCAGTGAGATGCACTTCAAAGCCAACGCAATAAACACCCACGACCTTCCTCCCCAAAAACATTGGTATAGGACCCATCCCATTCATGTGGCGACCTAAGGAGGACATCTGGTGGATCTTCGTGCTGAGCACCGTTCACCGCCGCGGTGATCGTTCGTCAACGGTGCTTCGGATTGGTCGGCGGGAAGTCCCAGGCGGTCGCTGAAAGACTTGAGGCACCCAAAGTCCGGCGGGGCCGGTCACATGGGGCGCTTGAGCCTCAGGGTGATATGCGCCAAGTTTGTGCGGCAACAGTTCTTTCAAGGGTGAAGGCCTTGAGGCAAGTCTTGCGTGCCAAATCCCGGAGGCGTTGGTCTACAGCCTCTTCGAATTGAGAGGTCTAGGTGCACAAAGGACATTCTTCCAAAGGACACAAAAACCCTTTCGGACAATTCCTCCTCACCGCCCTCCATCTCTTCAAGCTCTGAGGCAGTCCCTATCGACCACCCAGGTGTCCTCGACTCACAAAATCACGCGTGCGCTAGTAATTGCAGCAAAGTTTCGTCGAGTCTGGCTGGTCGGCGCTTTTCTCTTCTTGGAAGGGAGTTCCTCAGGATGAGGTTTGAACGGGCGAAAATAGTCACAAATAATTGTTGGGTGGGCAGCCTTATTTATGATGAAACGGGCTAACATAAAAAACATTGCCAATCAAAAAATTCAACGGCGGCTTTGCCTGACCTGGGCACGGTACTCTCCTGAGATCTTTGAATTGGGCGATGCAAATCCCACCAACATCGGAAACAACATGACAAACTCATGCTTTTATAATATTAAGTCTTTGCATGATACAGATCAAAGATGTGTTTCCAATGTCTTTCCTTTGAACTCTCCTCTTGGGGTAAATTTTCTTGCGATCTCAGGAACAGTAGGGACAGTGGCAAAAACAACAATAACAATTTTGACTTCATAGAGTAGCTAATAGCAAGTGGTAGCAGTTGTCTCTGGATGAAGGGGCAAAACCACTTGCAATCCCAGTTTCTGCTGCCTTCACCTTCAAACGATCCAAGATCACCTGCTTGAGATCAGTCTTCTGGGCACAATCTGTCTTGAACACGTGCGGCTCGAGAATTGTGTCACCAAGGGATCATCAAGGAGTCATCCACCGACCAATGGGTTGTGTATTTTGGGATTCGCATGAGCGATTCCACCCTTGCACTGAGCACATCTTACCACGCGATGATGCAAACATGGCCAGCACACCGGGGTGGCAATGCCCCCACTAGCTTCAAGTAGCAAACCGGGTCGCTGAAGCAGAAGCAACAGTAACCACAATACACCAGATACAGCATTAAATATACACAACAAAACGTCGTCAATAAAGAATAACAACAAATATATAGAGGACTTGAACAGGAAGTGGTCCAGAGAGCACTGTAGGGACAAGTCCAAGGGAAGAAGGCTTACATGTAGCACAGGCTCCGCTTACTTGTTGGGCCAAAATCGGGGGTGAGACAGGCGCACTTTGACCAGTCACAACTTGGCAGGAGAATATACACGCCTTCACAGCCCTTTGCTGGGCCGTAGATAGCTAGTCCGACACTTGTCCATTGGTCCTCTGGCAGGAGTGGCCTGTGCGACCAGGTGAAGCTCATGCACATCTGGCTTACCCACAAGACTCCCAAGAGAAACGCGTGCAACCTGATGGCATGGTAAGGCAACTGTATCTTGGAAGCAGGCTGCACACCTACACACACTGTATTAGACTACGCCTTCACCAGCAAACGCTCCTCCATCCTTGGCCGCTACACATCTCTGCACATGATCCGCTGCCGACGTAGCATTTGACTCAGTGCCATTTCAGGTCTTTTGACAGACATGGACGACCTGTGCGTGATTGGTGTAGGAGGAACTGTACAGCTGGCCATCTTCTCATGGGCTATCTGCATGAAGGACTGGAAACAGGTCAGATCTTCACAATAAGGGTTTCAGTGGATCCCAAACCATTGGAATTCTACTCTGCAGTGGATCACGATGCAGAACGGCCTTTAATTAGATAAAATAGTGAGATGCAGCACCCTGCATGATCTTAACTGTCACATTCTTGCCATCTGCCTCTACTCACCCAACCATCCATTATATAAGTCCATTGCCCATCCACGACAAAGGCCCACACCAAGAGTGACCTTCCGTGAAGGCTAAATGGAGGACGAAGTGGAGAAAGGGGAAAGCAAAAATGGCTTATACCAAGTGAGTGCATCAAAAATACCTTCCGCAAAGTTCTGCGAAGGTTTGTGGGTTTGATTTCTCGCAGTCAATTTTCCTACTAGCCGTCATTCCACGAAACGTCCACGAATAGCCCCGGCTTCCACGAGTGTCCTGGACCTTCGACGTTTTTTTTGGGTAGAATAGGTTTTGGTAAACTCTTTTTGTGCACTACCCTTCCGTTTGCAGCCCTGGCATCCGACGTCCATGCAGCGCATTTTGGACGACCGGCCTCGCGCATCCGTCGGTGCATCCCTCCCGTCGTCTGCTCATCCGTCACTGGCCACGGCCCGAAACCGCGCGCCTCATGGAGCACTCCCAAAAAGCCGCTTTTGGCGTCGCAGCCGTGGTCGGGATGAACGCCCTCCAGAAGGCTCTGGATGTACCTGGGTGGAGCTCGGGATTGCAAGGGACCGGAACCTGAAAACTTTGGGGTGGCGCTTTTACGTGAACATGACCGTATGTTGCTGTTGAATAGAGGTTCAGAAGAATTCCGATCTCTTCCACCAGGTTGCTCATCTTCAATGTGCTCCAGTTGATAGAGCTGCCAACGATAGACCGGCGCTCTTTGGAAGGCCACGTCCTCCACAAGGCTGGGGCCGGTCAAGCCGTAGGTTTCGATGAAACTCGGAGATTTCCAAAGTTTGGGCAGCTTCCACTCTCAATCCCTGCCATCAAAACGAGCTCATCAAATCATCGTTAAAACATGTTAAAACCTAACTGGAATGTTCCTATCTTTTGTGTCTCCTGGTCTCAAACAAAAACAATGGTCTCCTATAATGGTGCCTTTCCTC